AGAGATAGATAGGCCTACACATGAGAGAGGACAGAACATACTTTAAAGTGGGTCAGACTTGCGTTCAAGATTTTGCTGTACTTACAACATGTGTGCCCTTAGGCAAATTGGCTTAGTCTTCTGAGCCCGATTTAATTAACTCTGAGTCACAGTATTGTTACAAGGCTTACAAGAAATAGCTTAACCTTGAATCCTTTCTGGAGCAAGATGGCAGATGACTTTCACAAATAAAATGGCATTGATATAACTATAAAAAGAACCTGGTATTTCACAGGTGCTCAAAGAAAGAAAAAAGACAAGCACTTTGAAAGTGACTCTGAGCAGTTATCGTATGCCTTTTATCTTCGACCTGGAGTTACATACAGAATTGAGTAGTCTCAGTTTTGTATTTTCTTACTTACTGATATTCCTTAGGGAAAAACAGCAAAAGGGAGAGAATAGAGATGAAGAAAGATTTATGGAGTTGACAGAAGTGTTGACAGCGGTGATCAAATACAACCAAAGGAATTTACACTGCATTCCCAACTCTGAGACTTTGGAGTCTTCAATGTTTAACAGACCAGAAGTTAAAGAGAAGAGAAATGGAAGACTAGGGCTTGATGGCTCACATCTGTAATTCTAACTACTCAGGAAGCTGAGATCTGAGGAGCATGGTTCAAAACCATCCCAGGCAGGAAAGTCTGTGGGACTTTCATCTTAAAAAGCCGGAAGTGTGGTTGTGGTTCAAGTCAGAGAGCACCAGTGTAGAGTGAAAAGGCTAAGTAAGCAACAGCACTTAGGCCCTGAGTTCAAGCTCAGTAGTGGCACCAAGAGACAGAGGGAGAGAGAGAGAGAGAAGAAATAAGCCCCACACGCATGCAATACCATCACTCAGGACGCTAAGGCAGGAAGAGATTAGTGGGGGCCCAATAGTGAGTATGAGGCCAACCTGGGTTACCTAAACTCTATCTCAAAGAAAAAAGACCGGAGGAGAAATAGGAAGAGAGGGAAATGCAATCACTGCTCTGCCTTTGTTTCTGGCAGGCAGCAGCAGGCCGGGCATTTCCCTCCCTGAAACCTTTACCTTGTCGGCAGTAAAGCAAACAAATAACAATTGCCACTTGGTTTCCTGTTGGCTCATGGGATAAGAGGGTGGAGAAGCAGCAGGTAAATGACCTAACTCACAAAACTTCTGGACTTAGCCCTGTTTCTCTACGGTTCCTTCTTTGTCTCAAACCTGACAAATGGATGTACCCTGTCTTTTTCAAGGGAGGGGTTTACCAGATTTGCCCCAAGAACTCAGAAAGAAGGAAGAAGAATAGAGGGAGGCAAGGGAGAAATTTTTACCAGAAGACTAGGTGAAAGGTTATAAACAACGCCGTCCAGACTTCCATTTCAGAACATGCCTTGGATGTAGGCCCAGAAAGCAGCTGCTGCCACAATTAAAGAGTTTTTTTGGCATTCAGGAGGAGTCAGGCACAGCGTATAGCAAAGCAGTGGTCTGCCCTGAACTCCACAGAAGGAGAAAAAAATCTAGAGAAATATGACTTGTAACAGGATTATTACAAACTCAAAAATTCAAGCAAGGGGCTCATGCCTGTAATTCTAGCTATTCAGGAGGCTGAAATCTGAGGATCATGGTCCAAACCAGTCAAGGGAAGAAAAGACCATGAAACTCCCAGCTCCAATAACCAGCAAAAAGCCAGAAGTGGAGATGTGGCTCAACTGGTAGAGTACCAACCTCGAGCAAACAAACAATGGGCTGGGAAGGTGGCTCAACAAACAAGCTAAAGGATAGTGCCCCAGGCTCAGAGTTCAATCCTTAGTATTGGCATACACACAGAAAAATTAGTACTTCATATTATGTCTTCAAATAAGTAAATATTATCACACTAAAAAAAAACTACTTTGTTTGTTTGTTTTTCCCAGGGAAAGTGAATTCTCTCTTTTCTAAGACATCCAAAATCAACACTTCGCTGACCCAATACCAACCACATTTATATATATGTATCACATTGCTAAACAATACCATTCATGGTCTATTGGTGTTTTTTGTTGTTGTTCTTGCTGTTGGGTTGTGTGTGTGTGTGTGTGTGTGTGTGTGTGTGTGTGTGTATGTGCTGGTTCTGGGCCTTGAACTCAAGGCCAGTAACTCAAGGCCAGCCAACTCTCTGTCCTTTAGCCTTTTTTATTTTTCCTCAAAACTAGCACTCTACCACTTGAGCCACAGCTCTACTTTTACCATTTTGCTGGTGAATTGGATATAAGAAATTCATGGACTTTCCTGCTCCAGCTGGCTTTGAACTGTGGTCCTCAGATCTCAGTCTCCGGGGTAGCTAGGATTACAGGTGTGAGCCACCAGTGCCCAGCTGATTCATGTATTTTTGATGTCGCCCTCTGTCCTACTTCTTAAGTATTCTTGGAGCTAAGGGATTGTTTTTCACAGACTTGCGACTTGTGAGCCAGGAATAGTCACCTCTAAATTAGTTACACTGGATAAGATTAGGCACAGAATACTCTCCTAAGCACATTTTCTTTTTTTTGGGGTCCAGTTGGGGGGCCTGAACTCTGGGCCTGGGCACTGTCCCTCAGCTCTTCAGCTCAAGGCTAGTGCTCTACCACTTGAGCCACAGCGCCACTTCCAGCTTTTTTCTTTTTGCTTATGTGGTGCTGAGGAATCGAACCCAGGGCCTCATGCGTGCAAGGCAAGCGCTCTACCACTGAGCCACCTTCCCAGCCCACACGTTTTCCTTTTATACAAAGAGAGAGAGATAGAGAGAGAGAGAGAGAGAGAGAAACAATCCACAACTACACAAATACAGTTCATCAAACTAACAATTTTCCCAGGCATCACAATGTTGAACTTCTAAGATTACTCTAGTGATAATTTCACCTTTATTGTTGTTTTTTTTTTGTCGGTCTTGGGGCCTGAACTCTGGGCCTGGGCATTGTCTCTCAGCGCTTCAGTTCAAGGCTAGCGCTCTACCACTTGAGCCACGGTGCCACTTCCAGCTTTTTCTGCTTATGTGGTGCTGAGGAATCGAACCCAGGGCCTCATGCATGCAAGGCAAGCGCTCTACCACTGAGGCACCTTCCCAGCCTACTGTTGTTAATAATTCAACCATCACTGTTATCACTTGAAAACACCTCAAGCCTAAATGGTTAACTTTGTAGAACATAGGGTGCTACCTCAAACCCAGAAACCCTAAGGATCAACATGTTCTCAAGGACAGGTGTGGCGTGTGTATTTTCCAGGAGTTGTGATACCTGATTCTGTACTTGCTTAATATTGGGGTTGAGTTATAACTTGTTAGCCTTAGGGCATATGATGAAGGAACCAGGATCTTTAACAGCGTTTTTTTTTGTTTTTTTTTTGCCGAGAAAGTAGGCTTCTAATATATTCAATGGCTTCATATTTACTTCACCATGTGAAGCTCCAGCACATTATCTTCCTCTTTCCAGCAAAGGACTGAGGCAATAATCACTGGATACCTCAGCTCAAGGCACAGCAGGGGTCTAGAAGTCAAAGAAAAAGGAAGAATCCTTCTGTACACAAATTTTTTCTGGACACAGGAATTTGAGTCAACTTTTATTTGTATGCAGGGGCAGGGGGAGAGGGGATAGTGGGGTTTGAGGCTGAGGGTCTGGACACTGTCCCTGAACTTTTTTGGAGGCTGTACTGGGGCATGAAGTGAGGGCATAGGTTGCTGTTTCTGATCTTTTGCTCAAGGTTGATGCTCTACCAATTGAGCCACAGCTCCACTATCAGGCTTTTGGTTTTTGTTTTGTTTTTGGTCTTAGGGCTTGAACTCTGAGCTTGGGCACTGTTCCTGAGCTCTTCAGCTCAAGGCTAGTGCTCTACCACTTGAGCCACAGCACTACTTCCAGTTTTCTGAGTGGTTTATTGGAGATGAGAGTTTCAAGGCCTTTCCTGCCTGAGGTTGGCTTTGAACCGTGACCCTCAGACCTCATCCTCCTGAGTAGCTAGGATTACAGGCCTGAGCCACTACGCCCAGCTTCGGTGGTTGTTGTTATTATTATTGTTATTATTATTATTTTCCTGTCCTGGAGGCGCAGGGAAGAGAGAAGCGTCCACCTGGCAGGGACACGCCTCATTAGAGGCACTGAGGTAAACAGGGGAACACATATTCAAAACGTTCCCCCAAGTTCGCAGCTGGACGCTGGGAGATCAGGGGATAAGCAACAGGATGTGGACACTCCCTCACAATTTCCGTCTCAGAGAACAGAGAGAACAGATCAGAAGGTACAAAGGGTGAAGGAACAGTTCCAGAGCCGCGGAGGGAGTGGCCCACCACCTCGGTCCCGCGGCCCTGCTTTCCCTGGGGGGAAGTCCCAGCGCTCGGTCCCGGGAAAGGCCGGGCGTCTGGCTTTACCTGGAGACGCGCTGCGGGGGCGCCCTCGTCCCCCACAGCCACACCTGCAACCCCAGCCTGCCGGGGTGGAGTCTGGGGGGCGAGGGGAGTGCTTTCCACAGCACTGGAGCAGGAATGGACGGTCGTAGTCAGGGGATCAATGACACTAGATCAGGGCAGGTGTGAAACTCCCGCACCAGCACTGGAAAAAAATTCCTGCGAGGCACAGGAGCGAAAACAAATCAAGGCGATACAAGAACCCCCAAACCGCGGCTTTCAGACCCAGAGGCACCCACCTCTGCCCTCCGATGGCCATTCGGGGTCTGAGGTCGAGGGAACCCCGTTTTCCACCCGCCCCGCCCCCCCTCCCCCCGCGCTCCCCTCCCTCTCTCCTTCACTCTCTCCCTCCGCCTCCGCCCTGCTCGCGGCGAGCTAGGGAACCCGTGCATAACAACCGTTTTCCCCGCCAGGAGCACACAGTGTCCACGCGCCCCTGCGGCGTCGCCGATTGGTGCGCCTCCTGGTAAACAAGGATCAGGCAGCCAATGGGAGCGCTGTGCACGCGGGCAGCACGAGCCTCGGGCCCTGAGCTCGCGTGGCTCAGCCGGCCGGGCGACTATAAAAGGCAGTTTCCGGCTGCCGGCTGGAAACATTCGCTCTGCTGTTCGCAGCTGCCTGCTCTTCCTGCGCTCTCTCCGACTTCCCCCGGAGCTGGGGGCGAACCGGAGCAGAGAAGGGGCTGAGTGGAGGCTTGGGGCTTCTTGGAAGCCGTTGGTCTAAGCCAAGCAGCTTAGGGTCTCCGACTCCTTGGGGTCTTGTTGGCGCCTTGTCAGCAGAAGCCCCTTCGCATCTGCCTCATTCCTGGTAAAAAGTTACCGGGGTTGCAGATCGGATATATATTTTTTTGTCTTCTTCCCCCGGCTCTCACCCGAACATGGTGATGTTCAAGAAGATCAAGTCGTTCGAGGTGGTCTTCAACGACCCCGAGAAGGTGTACGGCAGCGGGGAGAAGGTGGCGGGCCGGGTGGTGGTGGAGGTGTGCGAGGTGACGCGCGTGAAGGCCGTCCGCATCCTGGCGTGCGGGGTGGCCAGGGTGCTGTGGATGCAGGGCTCGCAGCAGTGCAAGCAGTCCCTGGATTACCTGCGCTTCGAGGACACGCTGCTCCCCGAGGACCAGCCCACAGGTGGGTGCCGGGCCGCGGCGACTCGTCCGGGGGCGGGGGGGGGGTGGGGTGGGGCTTGGGAAGTGCTTGACTAAGTGCTTTAGATTGTACCTCAGTGGTTTCGTGGGATGCTTCCTATTTTGTTTTAAATTGTATTTTAATTGTACTTAAATTGTAATTTAATCTCCTTATCCTGCAAAAAAAAAAAAAGGTGGGGGGAGGTGGGAGATGCAGTTTTTTTTTTCTGTGTTCCCAGAGCGATCTCAAGGCAGGGGATGGCTTTACTTAGCCTTTTTTTTTCTTGTGGGTACTGAGACTTGAACTCAGGGCCCAGGCGCTCTCCCTTAGCTTTTTTTCTTTTTGCTCAAGGGTGGAGCGGAACCCTTGAGCCACAGCCCCACTCTTGGATTTTGGGTGGTCAGTTGGAGATAAGAGCCTCATAGACTTTGCTGCCCCAAGCTGGCTTGGAACCCTGATCCTCACTCAAATCTAAATCTACACAGTAGCTAAGATTGCAAACTAAAGATTTCTGTATGCTTATGTTGCTTTATATATTAGTATTTAACTGGGAGGCAGTGAGGGAAGGGGTGACATTGTCCAAAAAGAAGTGTACCTGACTTTTGTAACTGTAACCTCTCTGTATATCATCTTTTCTTTTTTTTTGTCTGTTGTGGGACACTTCTACCATTTGAGCAACAGCACCACTTCAGGTTTTCTGAGTGGTTTACTAGAGTCTCAGCAGAAACAGGCTGGGTAGCTTAAGTCTATAATCCTAGCTACTCTGGAAGCTGAAGTCTGAGGATCACAGTTCAAATCTAGCCCCAGGCAGGAAAGGCTATGAGATCTTATCTCCAATAAACCACTCAGGAAACTGAAGTGGCACTGTGGCTCTAGTGGTAGAGCACAGGCCTTGAGCTGAAGAGCGGAGGGACAACACCCACGCCCAGAGTTCAAGCCCCAGGACCGACAATTAAAAAAAAAAATCAGACTTTAGTAGTGCCACTAGCACTTGGCTTATATATCATTTTTATAATACCAGTTTTACACTGGTGGCTCATGACTAATCCTCAGTACTTAGGAAGTTGAGATCTGAGGATCTTACATCTCTAATAGACTATTCAGAAACAGCCAGAAGTGGCGCTGTGGCTCCATTGGTAGCCTAGAGCAAAAGAATCGCAGGGACAGCGCCCAGTCCCACAGTTCAAGCTCCAGAATGGTGGGGGGTTGGGGGGAGATTATTAGTATTATTAGTTCCTGGAGTAACTGTACTAGGTCAACCTTTCAATATTGCAGGGTTTTGGAACTTTCTGATTCCCCCCTCAAAAAAAAAAAAAAAGTACCAGAATGTTTTTCATTTGCTACATATGCAATCAGCCTCACACAGATGCATCCAGAAACCTAACGGTCACTTGTCTTTCTTTCTCATCAGGTGAGAATGAAATGGTGATCATGAGACCTGGAAACAAATATGAGTACAAGTTCGGCTTTGAGCTTCCTGAAGGGTAGGTACTCTTAGAGTTACATACATCTTTGGATTCTTCTAGCTTGCTCAGTCTTCTCCCTAACAATACTTAGACTAAACTATTATTATTATTATTTGACAGGCCTCTAGGAACTTCTTTCAAAGGAAAATATGGTTGTGTGGACTACTGGGTGAAAGCTTTCCTCGATCGCCCCAGCCAGCCCACTCAAGAGACAAAGAAAAACTTCGAAGTAATGGATCTGGTGGATGTCAATACTCCTGATTTAATGGTGAGGTTTCTCTCAGGATTCTAGTCTCCTTAGTCTCAGAATGTCTAAATTAGATAGATGTCTTGGGCATTGGACTGGAACATCTCAAAACATCTTTTTTTCCCCTTTTCATAGGCACCGGTTTCTGCTAAGAAGGAGAAGAAAGTTTCCTGCATGTTCATTCCAGATGGGCGGGTGTCCGTCTCTGCCCGAATTGACCGAAAAGGATTCTGTGAAGGTGAGGATTTAGTGCTTGAAATTCTAGATGGGAGACAGGTAACAGTAACCATGTAGATTCTATTAGTTCATGTGTGTTCATCTTTCTTATTGCTAGGAGATGACATTTCCATCCATGCTGACTTTGAGAATACGTGTTCTCGAATCGTGGTCCCCAAAGCAGCCATTGTGGCCCGCCACACTTACCTGGCCAACGGCCAGACCAAGGTGCTGACCCAGAAGCTGTCTTCAGTCAGAGGCAATCATATCATCTCAGGGACTTGTGCCTCATGGCGTGGCAAGAGCCTCCGGGTGCAAAAAATCAGGCCATCCATCCTAGGCTGCAACATCCTGCGAGTGGAGTACTCATTGCTGGTGAGTCAGTGGGGTCCATGCCAGCAGAGAAATGACTAGAAACTGTTCATCTGCTAGAACAGTGGTGTGCTTCCCAGAGCTCTTCTCTCAACAGCTGCCCTCTTGTATTTCAGATCTATGTCAGTGTCCCTGGCTCCAAGAAAGTCATCCTCGACCTGCCCTTGGTGATTGGCAGCAGATCAGGCCTAAGCAGCCGGACAACAAGCATGGCCAGCCGAACAAGCTCGGAAATGAGCTGGATAGACCTGAACATCCCCGATACCCCAGAAGGTGAGGCAGCCCTCAAGTCCTTCCTCCTCTGGCCTGGTGAGAATGTGGCAGTCTGGCGTTTCTTGGCTAGGTATCTGACTCTGGATTTTCTCTCTGTAGCTCCTCCTTGCTATATGGATATCATTCCTGAAGATCACCGATTGGAAAGCCCCACCACTCCTCTCCTGGATGACGGGGAGGACTCTCAGGATAGCCCCATCTTCATGTATGCTCCTGAGTTCCAGTTCATGCCGCCTCCCACATACACTGAGGTAGGAATTGTCATTTTTTGTTTTACTGGTAGCATTTGTCCTAAACCTTCCTATAGGAAGGCTTGAGTTGGAGGGATTGCTAAATGAGTTCTAGTTTGTGTGTGTGCGCCTGTGCGCGCGCCCCCTAGTCCTGGGGCTTGAACTCAGGGTCTGAGTTTATTTTTGCTCAAGGCAGGCATTCATCACTTGTACCACAGCTCCACTTCCAGTTTTTTGGTGGTTAGAAATAGGAGTTTCACAGCCTTTCCTGCCCTGGCTGGTTTAGAACTGTGATCCTGAGATCTTGGCCTCTGAGCAGCTAGGATGACAGGCAGGTGCCACGAGCACCCAGCATTGCTCCAGTTGTCAAAATCCATGGTTTTTCTTCCTCCCAGGTGGACCCATGCCTCAACAACAACAACAACAACGTGCAGTGAGCAGCAGAAGAAAAGCAGCAGCTGTCTCTACTTGTTTCTTTCTGCCTCTCTTCCTTGGACTCTGAACATTCACAGACTTTCCAGTGGCGTGTGGGTTACCCCCAGCCTCTGCCTCTCCAGCCTAGGCAGTGTGATTAGCAGGCACCCTCAAGCCAGTACCACTGTTGTGATAGGGGAGTGTTTGCTGGATGGGTGTAAAGACACACTGCACCTGTGTCTTTTTCTCAGATCTCTTTGGATATGACTTTTGTAGTGGTTGGGGTTGAAATGACCTGCTGGCATGTCTTTCCAGGGTTGGATTTTCTTTCTTGTTGCTGTTTTTTTTTTTTAAAGGGAATTAGATTTGTCATAACATCAAACCTCAAACTTTATGTGCCATCACGTGAGACAGAGCCAATGTAACAAACAAGGATAGAGGGGAAAGCATGGCTCTGCTCAACAAATTTAGGAAGTGAAAAATTAAAAAGAAAAATCAGTGTTCCCCTTTGTACACTTACAGAAAAAAAGAGAAACACTCCAAGGCTAATCTGCGGACTTTGGAAGGCACTTCTTCTGTGGTTACGAGGAAGCTGCTCTAAGGCGTGCTTGCTTAGAGAATGTACTTTAACTGCCCTACCAAATGTCTGTCATGTTGAAAGCCTCTTGCACTGTGTTCTCCTGGCAAAACTTGCTCTTATGGGAGACTCCTTTTATTTTCATGTGACTCCTTAGAATTGAATCTAAGGCTATGATCTTAGCAGCACTTTAATTCCTGTCAATTTTATTTTTTTGTTGTTGTTAGTTTCTCTCCTTACTGCAAATGTAAGCTACACTTAAACAAGTGTAAGCACAATAACAACAAAACTTGAGAACCAGGTGTGATGGCTCAGGCCTGTCATCCTGGCTGGGTACTCTGGAGGCTGAGGATCATGGTGTGAAGCCAGCTTAAGCAGAAAACGTAAAACTGATCTGATTAATCACTAACAGGCTGTGACTCAGGTGGTAGCCTTGAGTGAAAAAGCTAAGGGATGGCACTCAGGCCCTGAGTTCAAGCCCCAATACTATCACGCACACACACAAAGCCTTACTGCTTTTGAGACTATAGAAGTGTGACTGCTGTCACTCTTGCCTACTGTGACTTCTCTAGACTCCAGGGGAATCTCTAGATCCACACTGCTTAATAGACTTCACACCCCGCGGTGTGGAACTAGAGGTCAGGGGTCCCCCCAGCCCCCCACCAGTGTTAGGAGGAGCAGCTGGCCTCACTGCAGTCACCAGACCTGGTCAGTCGCCCTCAGCCATAGCACTTTGTTCGTCCTGTGTCGGAGCACTGAGCTCCACCCTTTTCTGAGAAATACTACAGCCCGAACCTTTGTGGGCTAAAGGTGGTTCTATTTCTTGTTTTTGTATTTTTAATTGTATATCTTTTGTATGATTTAAAAAAAACTATATTTTGTACTTAACCAGATATATTTTCATCCCAAGTGGAAAATCCTTTGTTTAAAAAAATAAAGTTTTTTTAAATTGATAAATGTTTTCCTTGTTTGTGAACTGGCATTTAAAAAATTATTAGAGGGCTGGGAAGGTGGCTCAGTAGTACAGTGCTTGCCTTTCGTGCATGAGGCCCTGGGTTCAATTCCTCAGCACCACATAAGCAGAAAACCTGGAAGTGGCGCTGTGGCTCAAGTGTAGAGTGCTAGCCTTGAGCCAACTAAAAATAAAAATAAAAAAAAGTTGTTATTCAATGCCAGGAATTCTAACCAGAATGAAGCTGATGCACAAGCTAACCTGCAGCGGCAGCAGCATTCAGAGCGCCTGGGCGGGGAGGAGGGTGAAAGCTCCTGCCTGTAACCCTAGCTACCCAGAAGGCTGAGAGCTGAGGATCATGGTTTGAAGGCAGGCTGAGTGAAACTCATCTACCATTAGCAAGCAAAAAAGTTGGAAGTGGAGCTGGGGGTCAAATGGTAGAACATCATTTTTGGGCAAAAAAGGTTTAGCAAGAGCACGAAGTTCAGGTCTAGTACTGGCACAAAAATTAAAAAAAAAAAAAATCACCATCCAGGACTTAAGAGCTTTAGAGTTAGGAGTATTTTTTAAGCCTTTGTAATTACCAGCACATCAACAAACTCCATAAACATTTGCTAAATATTTAATCCAATCATCAACCCATAGGGTTCACTTTGACTAGCTCTTTCTTACAATTAGTGATTGACAATCCAATTTTATCACTAATAGAAATAATCTTTATTATTTTTTTATTTTTGTTGGTGGAGGGGCCTGAACTCTGGGACTGGGCGCTGTCCCTCAGCTCTTCAGCTCCAGGCAAGCACTCTACCACTTGAGCTACAGCGCCACTTCTGATTTTCTTGTGGTTTATTGGAGATCAGAGTCTCACGGACTTTCCTGTCTGGGCTGGGGCTTTGAAGGGTGATTCTCAGATCTCAGCATTCTGAGTAGCTAGGATTACAGGTGTGAGTCACTGGTGCCCAGCTGTGATTGTTTTTGTTTGTTTATCCTTTCCTTCCCAATGTGCCAGCAAGACTGTAGCTCTTCCTGTTGCCAGGGAGACTTTCACCTGAACTATGTCACCCACCACTTCATTACCTGTTCAAGAGCTTAGGGACTCCTCTAAATTCGTGACCAGTGAAACTAGGTCAAAGTTGATGGAAAAGTTCTGCATCTTAGGTTAGGGATGTGGAGGAGAAAGAATGGAGCACGCTGCAGGGCAGAGGGGTGGAGAGGTGAGCACTTCAGTGCCCTTACTTGTGTACACAATCTGGTTACTGGTGCTTGGCACAAGAAGAGACTGATAGGGAGGAGATAGACCCAAGGCTGCTTAGAAATTTGATCCTAGAAGGGCCAGAACATTCTAATTCCCTCCTGATACCCTAATCTCTGTCATCTAGCACCATCCAAATGAACTTTCCACCAAACTAGGTGCTGCTAGTTTACATCAGTAATTGTGGCTATTTGGAGGCTGAGATCTAAGGATTGAGTGAGGTTCAAAACCCGCCCCAGAAGATAAATCCTAGAGACTATTAGCTAGCAAAAAAGACAGAAAATGGAGGTGTTGAAATTGGAATTTTAGACACTAGGCCCAAAGTGCAGTAGTCACTCACACATATGTTAAATAATAAATCATAGTGTTCTGGTGCCATGGCTCATGCCTGCAATCCCAGCTTCTCAGGAGGCTGGGATTTGAGGACTGCAGTTTGAAGCCAGTCCAAGCTGGAAAGTCCATAAACTCTTATCTCCAATAAATCACCAAAAAAGCCAGAAGTGGAGCTGTAGCTCAAGTGTTAAGAGTGCCAGGCTTGAGTAAAAAAGCTCAGGGTCACGGTACGGCCTGCTGGGCCCTGAGCTCCCGCTCTGTCCTTGGTGGATCTGGAGACGTCCTTGCATGCTCGCTGGGACAGAACAGAACAGGGGGTCTCTTCAGGCCGCTGTTCACTTTAGGATGATCAGGAGGCCCTGCCCTTGTGGGGCGTTTGCCGTCCACTAGAGATGTTCATTGGCTGGGAATGCGGCTTAGTGGTAGAGTGTTTGCCTAGCATGCATGAGGCCCTGAGTTCGATTCCTCAGTGCCACATACACAGAAAAAGTTGAAAGTTGTGCTGTGGCTCAAGTGGTAGAGTGCTAGCCTTGAGCTAAAGAAGCTCAGGGACAGTGCCCAGGCCCTGAATTCTAGTCTAGCAAAAACAAGAGAGAGAGAGAGAGAGAGAGTTTCCAAAGCAAGGTGAGAGCAAAGGGACATTGGCAAAGACTAGCTCAGATCACAGGCACAGATACAAAGTTGGGGACTTTAGTCCATTCATAGGGCCCAGAAAAGCATCTTTTAGGTTACCACTTACAGTATGGCTCAGGTAGAAAACAAAACACCGCCCTGGAGAGAAAAAGCAAACCAAGAATAAGAGGCCTTTGAGTTCAAGACCCAGTACCAGAGCTTGCACACACACATGTGCACATGCACACACAGATACACAAATAAATAAATGAAAAAGAACCTTCTGGGCTGGGAAGGTGGCTCAGTGGTAGAGCGCTTGCCTTGCATGCATGAGGCCCTGGGTTCAATTCCTCAGCACCACATAAGCAAAATGAAAAAAACTGGAAGTGGCGCTGTGGCTCAAGTGGTAGAGCGCTAGCCTTGAGCTGAAGAGGTGAGGGATGACCAAAAAAAAAAAAAGAACCTTCTGTGATGGTGGTTAAGTTTCGCATCTGTGCTGTCCAATACAGTAAGCAGCCTTTAGCCACACATGGCTATTGAACTTGGAAGTATAGTTACTTTGACTAAAGGGCTGAATATTTAATTGTGTTTAAATAGTTTTCTAGGAAAACTATTCTAGGAATGTGGCTTAGTGGTAGAGTGCTTGCCTAGCATGCATGAAGCCCTGGGTTCCATTCCTCAGTACCACATACACAGAAATGGGCAGAAGTGGTGCTGTGGCTCAAGCAAAAGAAGCTCAGGGACAGTGTCCAGGTCTAGAGTTCAAGCCCCAGGATTGGAAAAAAAAAGAGTTTTTATGACTAATGATTGCATTCTGAGTGCACAGCATAATCTGAGGAAGGAAGTAGCGAAGAGCTGTTTCCCCAGGAAGCCCATCCCTCCCTCAAAACACAGCAGGCTGCCCTCCACTTCCTTTTTGCCTTCTCTACACAGTTTCGTCCTTACTGGGACATTTTCTGCAGACACCCCAAGTACACTTTCCTGAGTCATGGCCCACACATGTCCTTCACTGACCTGGCTCTTCTTTTCCCATGCTCTTCTCACATGGCTTTTAATTTTTTAAGAGCTGTGACCTACATGCCAGCCATGAGGGGAGATTTAGGTCTGAGTATTATTTATTCATTAGGTCCAGTCTACTGTTCAAAAAGCTGAGAAAAGGGGCTGGGAAGGTGGCTCAGTGGTAGAGCGCTTGCCTTGCATGCCTGAGGCTCTGGGTTCGATTCCTCAGCACCACATAAGCAAAAAGAAAAACCCAGAAGTGGCTCTGTGGCTTAAGTGGTAGAGCGCTAGCCTTGAGCTGAAGAGCTGAGGGACAGCGCCCAGGCCCAGAGTTCAAGCCCCACACTCGGACCCCCCAACAAAAAAAAAAAGCTGAGAAAAGTCAGAAAAATGAAGAAATAGCTAAAGAAAATTTATAGCCAGGCAAAGATGATACATGCCTGTAAACTGGTTACGCAGTGAAAGGAGAGAAAGAGAGAGAGTGGGGGGAGGGGGGAGGGAGAGAGAAGAGAACAGGGAAAACCTGAGAACCAGAGAGCAAGAGAGAGGAAAGGAGTAAGAAGAGGAAGATGGGCTGGGAAGGTGGCTCAGTGGTAGAGCACTTGCCTTGCATGCCTGAGGCCCTGGGTTCCAATCCTCAGCACCACATAAGCAAAAAGAAAAAAGCCGGAAGTGGTGCTGTGGCTCAAGTGTAGAGCACTAGCCTTGAGCTGAAGAGCTGAGTGAGGGACAGTGCCCAGGCCCAGAGTTCAGGCCCCATGACCAGACCCAAAAAAAAAAAAAAAAAAGATGGAAAGAAAGAAGAAAGGAAGAAGAGAGGGAAAGGAAATTTGTAAGGAAGTTATTGAAAAAATCAGGGTCCATGTTAGGGTTTAGCTCAATGGAAGAGTGCCTGCTAGCCAGACACCAGTGAGTCAAACCTATAATCCTAGCTACTCAGGAAGCTGAGATCTGAGGATCACAGTTTGAAAAGTCTGGGACTCCTTTTTTTTTTTTTTTTGGGGGGGGGGGTCCAGTCGTGGGGCCTGAACTCTGGGCCTGGGCGCTGTCCCTCAGCTCTTCAGCTCAAGGCTAGTGCTCTACCACTTGAGCCACAGCGCCACTTCCGGCCTTTTTCTTTTTGCTTATGTGGTGCTGAGGAATCGAACCCAGGGCCTCAGGCACGCAAGCGCTCTACCACTGAGCCACCTTCAGCCCGTGAAAAGTCTGAGACTCCTATCTCCAATAAACTACTTAGAAAAATCTGGTAGAGGCACTGTTGCTCTAGTGGAAAGAATGTTAGCCTTGAGTACAAGAAGCTCAGGGACAGAGCCCAGGCTCAAAGTACAAGCCCCAGGATCAGCAAAAAGAGTGCTTGCCTAGCAAGTTCAATCCTCAGCACCATGGGGGGAGTAGGGGAAGCAAATCCTTGGCTACATTGGACACCCCTAAACAAATAGGAAATACAACAATCTAATCTGAGTTAAGAGGTGAACTGGGAGGGAAAATTATGGGACAGTATTTGGTCAGCCAAAATAGTCATGCATAAAGGTGTGTGTGTGTGTGTGTGTGTGTGTGTGTGTGTGTGTGTGTGTGTGTGTGTGTACTGTGGCTTGAACTCAGGGCTTCACATTCTTCCTTTGGTTTCCCATCCAAGGCTGCTGCTTTACTACATAAACTACACCTGTACTTCAGGTTTTGTTGGTTGTTGTTGTTGTTGTTTGCAGGTTAGTGGGAGATTCTTTCTGATTTATCTTCCCTGGCTGTATTTGAACCTCGATCCTCAGATCACAGTCTCCTGAGTAGCTAGCAGTGGACTTTTATGT